TCTTAATCCCTTCGCACGCTGCGAAGGGTGCGAAGACACACGTTCGGTAACGCGATTTCGAGTGGAGAGACCGGGATTTTAAATCCGGAACTTACCCATTCAAAGACACCCCCTCAAACTCTCGGCTCGTTCTTTGCCCCCTTACGTTTCGTGATGTGGAGCTGAGGGTGTTTCAGCGTTTCTCGTACTATATATTTGTTTAATTTATTTATTATTGAAGTATATTATTAACAATCTATATACGCATGTAATTTTCGAGGAAGAAAAACATTTTATCGAAGCAATATTTATTTGCTGCATTTATTTAAAAATTTTTAATTTGTATTTTTTTTATTTTTGCTGCATTTATTTGTAAAATAATTTGGCACTTTTAATAAAGTGATACAGGAAATTTTGTATTTAAAACAAATTGGATTTGATATATGTTAGCAGTTATCTGCATATATTTTTTTTATACGTACGATTGTAAATTATCATAAAGTGTTCACGTATATGTATAGAACGAATGCATATGCATTTGTATGCATATTTAATCCCTATTATATTATCCGCAAGAGTTCGAGGGTCATCTGTGCAGCGCAAAGCAGCACAAAAAAAACGAACTATCGTATCTGTAATAAGGGACGGATTAATACCCCTCGAGAAGAGGGGTACTCGATTTTAATCCTCCCTTATCCCACGCGTTCTCCACTCTTTCTCTCTCTTTCTCTCCCTCCCTCTTTTCCTCCACCCAACCCCCGGACAACGATTCGTCCTTTTCACTCTTTTACATCGCGGATCTCGAATCTTTTGTCATTCTCGACACGAATCCCACAACAGTAGTCGAAAGTCTTCATTGTGATTTCTCGCGCGACACATCCGTTCTCGCGCGATCCCTCTTCAGCTTTATGTGGGAAAAACTTTCGACACAGTTTCTTGGATTTCTCGAAAGCGATCGAATGACGCTCTTCTCCTCGTACAGTCGCGAGACAGGTGGCGAATACATACTTTGGCTTTTTGGCTACCCGCGTCGTCTTTTCACAATAGTCCGCAACTCTCCTGCATCGCGAGTCTTTTACACGCAATGGAACGAATAATGGAATGCAATCTCGGTCGTATTAAAGATGCTGCGAGATTAAAGATACATGTGAAAACATGTTTAGTTTTTTATTAATACATTCTAACAATTTTTGACAATAATATGAGACTTAATAAATCGTGAAGCATAAATTATTATAGCCTCTATAATATGTATTTTTTGCTTATTCAAATGATGAGATCAGATGACGATTGCCTAAAAAGCAATACGTAAGCTTACATAATCAAGAAAATGTTTCCGGCATATTTTATTCATAAATTTGAATTGATTTCCATTAATTATTCTTGTTTTTTTTATTGCATTGCCGGTTCGGAGACACTTTGTATAAACATGGGGAATCATTGTTACAAAAATAACATTTTTTCACAGTTCTAAAATATTATCATTTAAATTATGAATAATATTACATACTTTGTGGCTTTTTGATTATCCGCATAAATTTCACATAATTTATTTTATGGCTCGTACCGTGAAATAATATGCTGAAAAAGGTCGAACCAACTCAGGTGATTTTAAATAAATTGAATGAACACATTGCTTTGAGTAATAACATTAAAAATCAAAACCGAATACAAGCGTTACCATATATTTTCTTTTTTGTCGTTTCCACAATTTAAACTTCAAATTTTTAGGAATTATGAAACGAGAATAAAACGAAACGATATAAATGAAAAAAAAAAAAAAAAAAAAATAATTTTTCGATTTTACCCCAAAAGCGCCGTATCGTCCCGAGAGTACAGCGTAGCGAAATTTCCATTAACTTGCCAAAGAACGGCACAAAATCAACTACACGGGCTAATAGTATCCCGGCATCGGCGCGTATATACCGCGGATGATCGATACGCGGCCCGGGAAAACGCGCGCGTTCCAGCATCCAGGGCCCTCGCATACCGGCCGTAGGGCAGCATCACGCAGAATGCCCCGTGGCATCTGGCCGAGAGTGCGAGCCGGGCATTGTGATTCGTGCATAGTTCGCATTTCGTCAGTACATTTTCGGACCTCCGGTTCTCTGACCAGGAACATGATTAGTGTGCGCACACTTGACCTGGCCGACCCATTGTGTCGGAGGGATGAGAAACACTATTATAACGATACCACCCTGTTGTACACATGCGAAGGTACCATTATTCGATGCCCCCGGAATATATATATATATGTACGCGTTCTCGGAGCGTTATATTACGGTTTTTCAACAACCCTCAAATAAGTGTGTATGTATGTGACTATGTCAGATTTTTGGAAATGAATATTGGGGATTGTATGATATATATATAGAATATTTTAGGAAAAAGATCTTTATATATATTACAGATGAGTTTCACATAAAAAGATCGACAAGTACATATACGTAAAATTAAAAAGATTTAAGATTTTACTTTCAAATATAAAGTATAACTTGGTTAAAAAAAAATAAATATTTCTCGTCAATAATAAAAGCAAGCATCCTTTATTCTATGATATAACAATTTTCGAAATTGTTTTCATTGACAATTGTAAAAACTGTCAATATTAATAATTATTAAAAGATCGTTACACATATTACGGATGAGTTTCACATAAAGAGATCGACAAGTACATATACGTAAAATTAAAAATATTTAAGATTTTACTTTCAAATATAAAGTATAACTTGGTTAAAAAAAAAAAATATTTCTCATTAATAATAAAAGAAAGCATTGTTTATTCTATTATAACAATTTTCGAAATTGTTTTCATTGACAATTGTAAAAACTGTCAATGTTAATAATTATTTAAAAAAAATGATAGTTTGAAAAACGTGAAAGATTCGCTCGCGATGTAAGAGAGTAAACTTGGAGAGACAAACGAGCCGTGGTCGAGAACGTTATCGGGATAATTTTCACGGGCTCCCGGTAAACTGCCGAAATGATGGATCGAGCCGGGCTGGAGCGAAGCGGGAGGAGATTGGTAATGTGTGAAATTTTTGAAAGCTACACGGTAAGCGCGATCTCTCGCTTGACCGTTCGTCGACACGGAGTGTGTTCAGATTAGGTGCACACGTTGCCTCGACAATTTATGGCATTCTGCGTTTCTCTTCGTGTTCTCCTCCGCTTTTGCCTCCCCAATTTCTCTCTCTCTCTCTCTTGCTCTGTCTAGCTCTCTCGATGCGTTTATCGTTCGTCGCATGTCTCATCCCTCGTCGCTCTCTCTTCGTCTGGCTAGTGAAATCGCGTCAGCATTTAGCGAGCAGTATATTAGGCGAAATACAGGCGGATATCCTCTCACGGGCCATTACTGTTACCTTTGATCATCGCATGACCGGAGAGTGGTTAACGCTGCGTCATCAGAGCATGAATTTCTCTCTATCTGCCCGGTATAATTTACAATCCGCGCGGCTGCGGCCCTCTCGCCGACTGACTCGCCAGACTCGCTTGGACCAGCTAGACAGCTATCTCTATCCTTCTCTTATCGTATCCTGTCACTGTTTTCCCCGAGCATCTTTCGCTGAGCCTTTTATCATAACTTGAATAGTCAATGTAATCTCTCCCTTAGGAGTTATCATTGTCGATTCATCAATCGCGAACGTATCTTAACTGTCGTTTAGCTCTGAAAAAAATCAGTGATGGATCAGAAAGAGCAAAAAGGCATAAAAATCTGAAAAAAATATAAAGAATAGCGTTTATTTACTGATTACAAACTTTGAAGAAATAATCACAAGTTTTTGACACATTGAGGACCAGTTAGATGATTGATCGATAAATAAAATTCTTCAAGCTTATTAAATGTGTCTAGTAGTTTAAAGTTTTCAGAAGAATAAAATACTCTCTAGATTTGTTTGTAACAGATACTATCGGACACATTGCGTAAGAAAATGCATAGTCAAATCGTTGACTTTTCTTTGAGGTGTAATGGGCAAATTTAAAGGCAAGTGGGCAAGTGGCGCGCGGTCGTTCGGGGTTGTTTCAGTAACCAGCCGAGAGCAGCCTGTTGCATGCCCGACATCGGGGTTGCTGACGTCACTTCCACCACCGTGTACACACCCAAACGTCGGCCTAGGGGGTTCGTCTCGATTCTAGGTGGGGGATACCAAGCGAGCCAGAGTTGATACTGGTGGGGAAACAGCGGGGGATGACGGGGGATAACGGGGGTAACACTCTCGGAGGGCGTGCTTGACAAAGGCGTGGTTACCGTGTCCCCACCCAACAATAAACAAGCGACTCTGACGTTAATTTGTTTGTTTTGCCCTTCTCTCTACCTGGCCCTTTCTCGCCGCTTCGCCACTCTCTCGATCTCGTTCCCTCTCCGGTTCTTCATCCGTCGATCTCTTTTTCTGCTCCCTTCGTCGAGTCTTTCGTCTTCTTGCTCTTACTTTCACCTTGTTTGACTACCTGCTCGTCCAAGAACGTAAAGATATTTTAAACAGGCTATGCTACATTTAGAAAAATGTTAGCGAGTCGCGAAAAATCAAATAATTGAATAATTTTTTGAATTTTATATATTGTATATATTTTTATAATTTAATAATATAATAATTATTATTATTAAATATACGTATAATACATCTTTTTATTACTTGTTAATTGTTTTTAGAAAATGTCGCGTAATGCTGGAAGAATAAAAATTATGTGAGAATGCTATCTAGAATTTAGAATCAAGGATCTAGGAATTAATAAAAATTAATTTTATTTTTATTTGCAGATTTTCTAGAATACATTTTATATTTATATATTTTGCAGAATATTTTATTATTAATTTCTTTTCATCAAAATTTTTAAATTATTTTTTATTGTAATTTTGACTATGATAAATTTTCTTTTATAAATTGTACAAAATTCGATCGATTCTTTATTTTGCAAAAATAAACTCAAACTTCGAGAATGCAAATAGTGTTATCGCGACAGAGTGTTCGAGAACAGACAAGAGTCAGCAAATAATAACTTCTTTCGTTTCTTTGGTTTGTTAGCTCCATCATCGTATTGAGCCATGCTATTCTCGAGTTTGTTCAAGTGGTGATGAAGAATCAATGGATAGACGAGTAAGAAGTTGATAACAGACTCGTTAAATGTATTCTCGATGAAAATAGTTGTACGTCTGTCTTGTGTTTGTCGGGGAAAATAAAATTGATATCGAAGAAGATCGCAAGCAAAGTTTAAATCGTTAGCATTTCAATATAATGAACACAATAAAAATTAATAAAGATTTTAGCACATCTCTTACTAGAAATACAAAAAAAAAAGATGAAAAAATTTGTCGCATTTAGAAGATTAAGAGAAACGTTTATTTTCTAGATAGAACAGCTTTGGAAAGATATTACAAATTTATTTAAAACGCAAACTAAGTAACATTGATTACTGACATTTTTCGAGCTTGAATTTACATTTTAGATTTTTTAAATCCTATTTATATAAGCAAATTAATTTTTATATAGAGATACTAATTATTGGCGATAATTTTTTTTTGCAGATTTCCGATGATATCCCAACTTGCGAGCGCATTGCATAATTAATTCGTTAAAGTGCATTAGTTATCCACAATACCTAGTCAGGAGCAAGTACAAAGGATAAGGAGGAGAGAGAGGTGTAAACGAGGATAATTGTGTCTCACCTAACGTCATCCTGCTTTTGTAGAGGGCCACCCTACGTATAAAATTGGTTGGAATCGATCTTAAGAGCTCTGCCCGAGTGCCGGAGGGATGCTCGGAAACGGGGAACGACTTGACCTTGGCTGGATTCACGCGTAGCTGAGCTAACGCAAAATCGAAACGCGTTACTTCCACCGCGTGGATCTCCTAAAGCCGGGTTCACATCGTGACCTGCAGCGGCGACTCTCTCCGGATTATGGGACGCCCGTGAACGCGAATGCGCGCGCAAATCCACATCCGGAAGTATGCGGAGTTATCCAATTTTCGTAAGTACATCTGCACACAAACATAGGGAATATAATGAGTAATTATATATAATAAATCGTGTGATATTTAATGAACAGATTATGTAAATACCAACTTTATCACAAGTATGATACATTTTACTATATATGATTAATTAACATAATTTTTTATCAAGACTTTTAGTAGTTTAAATTAATTTTAAATTTAGTTCAATTTTCTGTTTTTTTTTATGGAAGCTTGGTATTGGATAAAAGTTGAGAGAAATTTTAAAAGTTTAATTGACGATGAAAATTAATAAAAGAGAGGCCATAATAATATTTTAATATAAAAATCTTGTTTCATTTTATTTTGATGTAATATTTATCTACTTATACATCTCATTTATATTTTTAAACAGAATATTTTCATTAAAATATCACACTTGGAATACGACTTATATTTAGCGCTTATTTGTTTTCTTCAAGGTTTCTTTTTCAAAATTTGTAAAAAGACTAATCACAATCAGATATTTATAGAGAATGTACGTACTTCGACTGCTGAATTTTTTCAAGCATCTGTTGAAATTTGTTTTCATTTCGCGCAACCGTTATCTTAACTTCAAGTTTTCGTGAAGTGCAAAGATAACTTGAGCAAACTTCTTTGACTTTCTTACGTCGCATCACAGTTGACCTTCGCTACTCGTTCGAATTTATTTGATCGGATTCGTAATGACGTCTTAAACGACCGCGATTCCATTTCGACTTATGCAACGTTTTAATTAATAATATATTTTTCTCGCAAAATCGGGAATTTGTCAAAATGTAAATAGGTATTATTTCAGCCATTATCCTTGTTGAAAATGCCAATAGAATAAAATCAGCATTCTTTTAAAAGATAACGCATTTCGCGAGCGATTTCATCGAATGATGCGATAATATAATCGATCGTTGCAAAATTTTCAGTGATGATCGTCGTCTTTCTAAGACTCGAGACACAAAAAGATATAAAAGTAAAACATAATAAGAAAGAAGAATATAGCTCGAAATTGAAATAAAAGTTCTATTTTGTTAGCTTAAGAAATAAAACCATATATTAGTTTATATCACTTTTTTTATATTGCAATTGTATGTCATGCTAATAAGTAAAAAAGCCGAAAGAAAAATAATATTTAAATTTCTTATATTTTATATAATTTTTAAATAAAAAAGTAATTATCTTCCATATTAAATGATAGATGTAAAGTCACTTAATTTTAATTTTATTACGTTTGCTTCTTAAGCAGTCTGTGTTTGTTACAATTATGTAGTATTCTACATTTTCTTAATTATAAAAGTACGTACAATACTTTAACTTGCAACATTTCTTTGATATATCGTTTATATTTATTGAGACATTCTCTTCGATAAATCGATATAAAATCATTTGCTTTGTTTTGTTCGTATGTCTTCTTTCATTTGAAGACAAAAGTGTAGGTATATAAGTCCAGATTTCCAAGTTACCAAGATCATTATATCATATCGTTTCATTTTCGTATTCATTGGAATTTCTTTAGAATTAAGAGCATTTTCAAAACCTGAATCACATCGTTTTTACGAAATAAATGAATTCGGTAAAGGACAAAAAATTGAGAAATAAATTCAATGAGATAGTGTTTGTAATTTTTTCTTTTTCTCCTGCAATTTGTCAAAATTCTTATTCTCTCAAAATCAGCAAAAATTCAATAATTTTCAATAATTGAGAATTGTCGAAATTTTTGTTACGAGAAATTTAATAAATCAAAAACCAAGAAAAAAGAACTGAACTGAAATAAGTGCCTTGTGTTTCAGGTCCTGTACAACCTTATCGCTTGTATCTCTCGTCACGAGATGTGTTCCGTGTGAAACGAGCTTGCGGACTCGTCGTTGACGCACAAGGGTAAGTGCATCCACGTCTATCCCTCGTTCCGTACCGTCCCGCGAGAAAGATTGTAGGGGCATGCTATGCCGAGGTATACAGAGAGAGGGTGAATCAACCCCCGCGCGCGCGTATGACGTACTCTGGCGTGCATAACACCCACGGTCGGTCGGTCCACGCGTGACTAGATACCGCTTTGCACGCATAAGGGACATAAACGCCAATTATATTTTAATATCCCTTAGCGAGACGCGTCCCCGGAAGAAAAGCGATGCGAAATTCCGACGGCGCAATATATTCACGCTCCTGTCGTTTCTCCGTCTCTGTCTCGTAAAAAGTGGTGAAAGTTCGAAAAAATATTTAAAGAGTTAGAAAATTAAAAAAAACTCGCCGAGAAATTTGTGCTTCTTTTTCTTTGCACTTTAATTTGTTCCTTAAGAATTCGGTGAAGGACAAAAAAATTGAGAAATAAATTCAATGAGATAGTGTTTGTAATTCTTTCTTTTTCTCCTGCGATTTGTCAAAGTTCTTATTCTCTCAAAATCAGCAAAAATTCAATAATTTTCAATAATTGAGAATTGTCGAAATTTTTGTTACGAGAAATTCAATAAATCAAAAACCAAGAAAAAAGAATAGCGACACTGAAAAAATTTCAATAACGAGGATATACTGCAACATCCCCCTTATAAACTGAATTATTATATAATATAGATGTGATAAAACATTTAATATTTTTTTAATGTTACAAAACTTGTAGTTTTGAATGAAATTTATTTTCAAAAACATTGTACAAAAAATTTATATACCTATACTTTCAATGTAGAATTAAGTAACTCTTGTTATTTTAAAGAAAGTATCTTATTTTTTTCACTGTGTTATTTTTATCCATACTGTCAAGATGGATTCAAACAAGCGTAAAGATAATATCTGCGTTCGCGAAAGTAATATAATCATATAATTAGAAATGAGGAATGTGTGTGTGTCAAAGTAGAATTATTCCGTTCAATTCCAGTTTTACTTGAATGTAAAATAATCAATTTACCAATGTTCTTTCAATTTTGATCGGATTACATGAATCTATTATAAGCATTTCTCTCTCGATTATTGCACGCTAAAGATATTTCACGTCCAAATCCTTATTACAACCCCTGAATAGAAATATCTATTTCCTTCAAATCTTCATATCGATTTTTCCAAATTTCCGGAGAACGAGAATCATCCGTTTACATATCCCCAAGACATTTTATACAAAATTTAAAAATATTTCATTCGATACAATTCGAATACCTGAATTATAGAGATAAGCAATTAATTCTCAAGATTAAAATCAATTGAAGTCGCAATTAATCGGGCTGAGATAGGAAGACGACGCGAGGGATAATTAAGAAATCTCAGGCGAGGAAATAAAAGGAGAGCCGGCATCCGGATGAGCCCCTAGTAGCGGTTCATCTCCATCTGACGCGTCGCGCGTTACGGCGCGCACCCTTTTCCCTACGGTGCAGTTGCGCGCCGTAACGTTGGCTTGCGCGTGCGCACTGCACGCACCGCACGCACCCTCCGCGATGTACCTTCCGCACGGTTGAGCATCTCCACCATTCAGAATCGATGATGTCACGAAGCGGAGCCGGGATCCCCACCGTCTGTCGCGGCGCGAACGTAGAAAGGGAAGCTGCGCTCGCCGCCATTGGTCCAAACGTCAAGTCGAACGTACCAACACGAGACCGCGGCGAGGCGACCCAACGAGAGTCCGCGAGTCGGTGCGTGCCAGTCCGTGCGTGTGCTTTTACCTAATAATATTTCCACGAACGGAGAGAGTAAGAGAGAGAGAGAGAGTTACACGCATTACACCCTCCACCCTCTCTCTTTCTCTCTCTTTCTTCGCGTCCGTTTCTATGTGCACGTTTACATGCATGTATATGTCGCTCTCTCTCTCTCCCCCTTCGTAGAGTCAGGCGTCCTCGCGTAGAAGGCTTTTCGCGTCGCGACCACCCTCCACCACCCCGAGCTGACGGGGGATTTCACGAAAGCGAGAGAGGAGAGGAATCACACGCTGCAGAGCAGCACGTGTGCTGCACTCGCGCGGATCGGCACAAGCGCGGTTGCTTGTAATCATCGTTCTTTTCTTCGCACCGCGCCTATAACCCTGTAAAGTTCGACGCGAAGTTGGACCGCGCTCGGCAGAGCCGATCGGATATAATCCGAGAGATTAAGTATTAAACGCGCGCGATTAGCCGCGAAAGTGAGAGGGGTGTCTCGCGAGCGAAAATTCAAATTTGAACGGGTAGATCGATATATCCCCCGCGCGAGTCGAATCGAAGTGGTCGATCCGGCGCGCGAGATAGTGACGTAAGCGCAAACAACTCGCGGATCGCGCGGGAGACTGTGAGTTTCGTACATACGCGAGGTGCGACGAAAAGCGGGACCAGCCAAAGGATTCGCAGTGCTGCTTCTGCCGAAACGAGGAGACGGAGCCGTCGGCCGTCGGCAGGTCTTGGTATGTAATCGTTTGCTGGATTTGTTCCCTTTATTTCGATTGAAGAGCGAAAGTGCAAGAAAAGGTTAGGTGCACGAGAGATCGCGCGACTGATCTGACTCGCGGGATTTTTTTTGCATTTTAATCTTGCATTGGTTTTAACAGGTATTTTAGTCATTCTTCTGATATCATCGCGACTCTGTATTATCCTTTTTATTTTAAGGCACTTGAAAAAGAAGGAGAAAATGTCTTGTTTACAATTGAATCGTTTTTATTTTACATCTGTATTTATTATTCAGTTCTTCATTTCTCAATTAACTATTCAATTTGAAAAATTACTTTCAATATTACGGAAAGCGATTTTAAGTGCGTGTTTTCTGAAGTGCGCTTTCTTATTTGGGTTAATTTTAACGATAAGAGAAAGTCGAGCGCGTGAATTATCAATAAATATTTTCAATACTTACTTTGCATAAAACTATTACTTTGTATAAAATCTTATAGAATTTTTAACTTTCTTTCATTAACAACAGTTTATGTAAACTCAGTTTCAGCGAAATTGTATAAAATTTTTGTTTTTTCATTTTTTTTTATATGCAAACGATTTCTTTTTACCATTTTTATAATTTTCCAAAAAAACTGTTGGAGAGAAAACAACATTGATGATTGAATATATAACATTTTTATATAAAATATATTTCAGTTAAAAAGTAACGTATAGAAACTAATGACTTAAGATGAAAAATATTTGTTTCATAGTATAAAAAGTGTGTGCATCTAATGCAAAATATTTATGTCCTCCTTTGCAAATAACTACTTTAATGTGATAAGTAAAAATGGTCAGATTTTAATTTAATTAAGGCTTAATACTTTCACTTACATTCAAAAATATATATTAGCATTATTTAATACTCTTTTCAAAATCAATATTATATACATATTGCTAAAAATGGAATTTAGAAGATAAATGAAATGAATCACGACAATAAATTAATGAAAAACGATAACAAACAATTTATATACAGCATAAAAATGTACAGAGAAATATTACGTACCAAAGAAATCATATTAAATACGATACAACTCAACATTTTTACGCGGTTGATTCCTTTTAGTTGAGAGATACGACTGAGATGTACAATGAATATTCAAAACATTTTACTTCGACACATTTCACTCACTTCACTTCATATTTTTAGATACAAGCACGCTCGACTAATTGTACATTGTGTGAACATTAATCGTTGCGATAATCACGCGTGCGCGCGAATTCCATTGGTTCATCCTGCTGATTAACGCACATTATCAAATGCAGATTTCATGCACGTAGCGCATAATACGGCTTAAAGCATATAGCACTTAACCCTCTCCTCTGAATTCGCTATACCGGAGACGAATGTGATTGAATAGCGCGTCGAATCTCTACAAATACATATATATATCTTTATCTTTCTCGCTCCCGCACACTATTGTCATGGTGTCTTTTCCATCTCTCTCTTTTTCTCTCTTTCTCTGTCAGTCTGTCCCTTCGCATGTCTCCCACAGTCACAGTATTATGGTGTAATTAGGCGATAGGCTTTATACGATTCGCCGTGTAAAATGCGGCCGCGAATGAATGAAACCGACTGAATGTCGAGCGTCACAAGTGTAGACGCCCCCCGTGGTGATATCCGCATTGTGAACGCTCCTTTCGCGACGACGCATTATGCGTCGGTTCCTCCACTAGTTTCTTTGCGGTAGCGATTCTCTAATCGGGACAAATGTGCGCCAGCAATACGGCATTGCTCGTAAACAACGACAATCTACGCGTGAAATTTATCTATAAATCATCTGTCCCCCTGGACCATTTTAGCAGAATTCTGTGCGGAGTAAAAATTTCTAGAAAATTTTACTTGTTTTAACTTTCTTCAATTATAATCAAATTATATTTTGTACGTGTACTTTTAAAATAGTTTTTGTAACAACGATGTAGAAATACTTTTCAGGCTATATTTTGTACTCGAATGTTTTGTACTTATGTAGATTAATTAAAAAATAAATCATCTGTCTCCTGGACCATTTTAGCAGAATTCTGTGCGGAGTAAAAATTTCTAGAAAATTTTACTTATTTTAACTTTCTTCAATTATAATCAAATTATATTTTGTACGTGTACTTTTAAAATAGTTTTTGTAACAACGATGTAGAAATACTTTTCAGGCTATATTTTGTACTCGAATGTTTTGTACTTATGTAGATTAATTAAAAAATAAATCATCTGTCTCCTGGACCATTTTAGCAGAATTCTGTGCGGAGTAAAAATTTCTAGAAAATTTTACTTATTTTAACTTTCTTCAATTATAATCAAATTATATTTTGTACGTGTACTTTTAAAATATTTTTCATAACAACGATATAGATATACTTTTCAGGCTACATTTTGTAGAATGTTTTGTACTTATGTAGATTAATTCAAATTTGTCTGAAAAGTGAGAGATAAAATAAAGGAAGGTATAAAAAAAAATTATAATAATATAAATCTGAGTCTAAAGACAAATATTTAAAGGTCCGAGG